CCTCCTGCAGGAGCTTGGCTCAGACCCAACATTGTGCCTGTAAATTACCCTCTCTGGCTTGTTAAGAAGGAAGAAACCAGACTTCCTCCCTCAAAGATCATGGTTCAGTACCTCTGGGTGCATTTAAGGAATTTGCCCTTGAACCCCCAGGACCACCCTCCCCACGCCCCCATCCATCCTCCAACTGCGCACAGCATGTTGGTTGCAACAACTAGTTAGACTGTATGGAAGTGTCTTTTCAAGACTAAAACTCTTGATCTTTGAAGCTTTGGAGCAGGAAGGGGGCTCCCACAATGGGAAGCTGACTATCCCTCCCTCCCCACAAATCTCCTTGGTTGTGGGCTGAGGTCCTTCTACCGGGTTCCCTTTCCAACCAGCCCCTATGATCTCCTTTTCCCATTTAAGCCCAGAAACAACTCACAGAGGAGGAGAGTCTGCTAACCGGTGACCGCCACACTGGTGCTCACAGGAGCTGCGAAGATGGCGCTCAGCGGGCTGTGGCTGGCCGGGAGCTTCGGCCACACAGCCCGTGATTTGAAAATTCGCGCTCTTGACGAAGCACCGCTCCTGGCCAATGGACGGCGAGATTGCGGCAACCCAGTGGCGGGGAAGGAAAAGGACTGGCCCGGAGTCCTTCCCGCGGACCGGCGGCGAGTCGGAAGGCTGGGCTCCGGGACCTGCCCGCCCTCCCTAACGGTCCTGACCATCCCGCTGCGCACCCCCTGTCCACTCACTGGGCACGCTCGGTCCACGGCCCCCTTCCGCGCGGTCCAGGACAAACTTGGAGCAATCATATCCCTCCATCCCTTCTCCGCCCAATCGCGTCCACTGTAATCGCAGGACAAGCTGAGCGAGCGCGGGGCGGGACAAGGAGGAGCCCGCGCGGGGATACGCGCTTTCCCGGGGTCTGATTGCGCAGGGGTCGCGCGGAGCTGGAACCGCGCGCCGGGCTCTGGGGTGGCGTCGTCAAAAGCCGGGTCTCGCCTGCGACCATCACAGCCCTTCAGGCGCTGCGCCGTGGGCCGCGGAGGCGGGGTGAACTTCCCGAGCCAGACCCAGAGATCGCTGCTGAGCAACGCAGAGACCCGCCCTGCACGCTGAGGGCGTCTTTCCTCGCGGTGAGCTTCACCAGCTTCCAGTGGAAGATATGGCCCCAAAGCAGGCAGCAAGCAGCCTGCCCCTGCGGTGGGGTCTAGTGGGACCTGGCGCCCCCCACTCGCTCCCGACCCCACNGTCAGGATGCAGGAGTGGCTGGTTAGCTCAGTTGGTTAGAGCATGGTGCTGGTAACACCAAGGTTGCCGGTTCGATCCCCACATGGGCCACTGTGAGCTGAGCCTGCCTTAAGTCAAAAGAGATATTTCAGCTGCGAACGTCCCCACCCTGCGAAGCAAAGGGTGCCAGCCCCACACCATGGTCCCCATCCAGTGTTTTAGTGCTAAGAAGAGAAGTTCCCATAACTTCTGGCTGTGAACCCAGTGGAGATTTTGGCTGAGTGAGATGAGGGTGGCTGCAGTCCCAGGCGCTCCTTTTAGGGGTCTCGTGCATGGACTTATTCGATGATAGACTCACTAGCTCTGAGCTCCAACACTGGGGCAGCCACTTGAAAGGTGCCAGGAATGGACATACGGGGAGGAACTGAGTTGTCTGGCCTTGGGGTAAGGACTGGATGGGCAGCTTTCTCCCAGATGAAGGAGCTGGTGGAAGCCATTGTTTCTTTGTTGAGTTCTCCCCCTTCCAGAATGCAGAACAGGTGGCTGCCATATCTGAGACTCCAGCAACCTGGCTAATACCCTTGGTTTTCCCTGTCCCTGGTGATTCCCAGAAACACCACCCACCCAACTTTCAGGCATACTCTAGCTGCTTCCAGTGCCGTTTTCATATAAACGCCCTGTCTCAGCTCATGCTGCAGACTTTCTTAAAATTTCTCAAAGATTCACAAAACTCATACAAGCATTATCTGGCTTCAGCATGACCTATACCTCTTGTTGAGCGGCCTTGAGCCCGGCAATAGCCACAGCCAGCCTCTCTAGGCACCTCCAAGCCCAGTGCAAGTGGCAGCCATCTGCAGATTACTTTGTGGCTCAGGCCAGGTCACCCCAGGCAGGGCACAAGGGTCCCTTCCCAGGCAGCCCTAGGCTGGCACACCTGGTTGCCAGTTTGGGACTGCGGAGCGTCACCCATCCATCTCCAAGGGTGACACACACCAAGGGCAGATTGGGCAAGAAACCACAGCCCTACTGCAGTGAATCCTGCACTGAAGGGTCAGCCCCTGCACCACAGCTCCTCCACTGNATAAAGATACATTCAATGAATGAATGGAGTATGCATATGATGTACTATGCCCTATTTTATATACTTTTCATAAACTACCTCATATAATTATTACAACCCTGTGAGGTGGGTATTATTAGTCCCATTTTACTGGTAAAGAATTTGAACATTTGTCTTAGCATAATAATCTCGAGATCCATCCATTTTGTTGCAAATGGCACTACTGAGTAGTATTCCATTGTGTATATATACCATATCTTCTTTATCGTATCATCTATTAAAGGACACTTTGGTTGTTTCTATGTCTTGGCCACCGTAAATAAAGCTGCAGTGAACTTCGGAGCACATGTGTCTTTACAGATACATGTTTTCAGATGTTTTGGGTATATACTCAGGAGAGGGCTTGCTGAACTATAACTCTGAAAGCAACCAAGGTACAAGACAAACAAAAAAAGAAACAAAAACTCATAGACACAGACAAGAGTTTAGTGGTTATCAGAGGGTAAGGGGGGAGGAGGGTGGTAAATGAGGGTAAAGAGGGTCGAATATATGGTGATGGAAGGAAAACTGACTCTAGGTGGTGAACACACAGTGTGATATATAGATGAGGTATTACAGAATTGTACACTTGGAACCTATGTAATTTTTCTAACCACTGTCATCCCAATAAATCTTAATTAAAAACAAAAAAATAACTTGAACAACCAGAGAGATTAAGCTATTTACTCAAGGTCACAAATCCCCAGAGAATATACTTTTAATGACTTTTGATTATAAACATTTTCAAATAGGAAAAAACAACAACTATAATATAATGAGCCTCCATCTACCTATCACATAGGCTTAATGATTGCTCAGGGGGCAAATTTGCATCACTTTTTTATTTTACTAGATTATTTTACAGTTAGAGACATCCTAAAACTTAAACCCTAATTATCACTTTCCATCTCTAAAAATTTAGAACTTTTTCTAATTTATTCAGACCAAGATCCAACTGAGATAGAAAAGTTGTCTTTAATTATTATACTTCTTAAATTTATTTTATTCTAGAAAAAGCATTGATTTGTTGAAGAGAACAGAGTTGTTTACAGTATGTTCACCTCCTGGCTTGCTTCTTCGTATTGTTTAATTTATGCTCTAGCCCCTGTAGTTCTTGTCAAGTAGAAATTATCTAAAGACTATGCTTTCAAGAAGAACTCCTTTAGCTTTTTCTT